CAAATAATTTCCCTTCTCATCTTTATTCATAGATGTCGGCAGGATTATGTGGAGAATTGCCTATATCAATAAAGGCTCTTAACGATAGCACTTACAGTGAAAGGGCTGTATGGAAAAGAAGAGAACATTGCAATTTTTCCCATGTTTTTCGCAAATGATTAAGGGGTTGGGCACAGTCCATCTGTGCAATTGGCGGTGCACTGAGAACATACTGCACCAATAGGATAGATAGATTGACCGATATTATTACCACTGAAATGTAGAAGTAAGAAGAACAATAGTAAAATATACGAACTCCTTACCCTCCTGGTCCATAAATACACGAAGTGAAGAAAAAACTTCCACAGTCATTCACTGCACAACCAAGTTGCGTGTTGCTAGACCAAGCCATCTGCGAAAGAAAATTTGAACTCATCATTTTAAATGTTCTGTTGCATTGCCAACGTATGCCTCACCTTTGTAAATGCTGATACACCATTACTAATTGGTCGATCGGCTACTTCTCTACTATAAATCATATTAGATGGAACACCACGATTAGTGAGTTGACTCGACCATGTATACATCGCCTCAACTTAGGGAAGTTTTTCAATTCCTCATGAATGTGAAACTTTAATCTACCCATTGTACTGCTCCCTCAAGAGTGGTGTCTTTTCTATCAAGAACATTGACGTTCTCCTTGAATCCTCCTAGTGCTCGAGGGCGTGTCTGTCTGCGATTGCAAGTAAGTACATGCTGTTGGGCATATGATTCTGCATCGCAATTGTATCGCTAAAAGAAAACCCCAATATCAAGTTTTTCTGGATACTCTTAACTTTCATAAGCTACCATTCTGTACATCAGTGCAGCTGGGGGAGCGATCTCACCACTATTTCCATTTCTTTCAGTCTGTCCTCTAGCTAAACTGCCCCTAAATTAAAAAACCTTTTGGAAAGTAATTTTTGGAGAAAGGAAGGATGCACCTCATATTGTTATGGGTATTGATAAAAATTCCTCTTGTTCTGTTGGTTTGAAGGGGATTTGGACAAAAAGGCTCTGAAATAAACGTCTTTAAATAACTAGCATTCTTCCTTCTGACAATTTTGA